CAAACTAAATCGATCTCTTTTAATAATAGGGCATATTGGATTCACCGGTCCTTGAAACTATCGACCTAACCCCTTTCCAACTTTCGCTCCTCTTCCAAGAGTCAATTTGAGCCTCATCTTGGTACAGTTTGACAATCGAGGCTTTGGTATCTTCCTGCATTCGACCAAAAACGTAGCATTGACAAACTCCAACGATCTGAAAGAACACTCGACCGCTTGCTCATCCACTTCAATGTTCAGAGCAGTAGTAGAAACAGAAGCAATAATGTCCTCTTCAGCATGAATACATACCAACCTTCCATTAATCACAAATTTCAGTCTCTGGTGCAATGTGGACGGAACTGCACCGGCATGATGAATCCAAGGCCTTCCCAACAAACAATTGTACGTAGGCATAATGTCCATTACGAGAAATTCCACTTCATAAGTTGCTGGACCAATATTCAGAGGAACATCAATCTTGCCCAACACTTCTCTTTTAGTCCCATCGAAAGCTCGAACCACACTTTGACAGGTTCTCATAAGTGTAATATCTAATGGAAGCTTCTTTAGAGTCACTAAGGGCATCACATTCAAAGCTGAACCATTATCAACCAAGACCCGGGACAACACATGCCCTTTACATTTAACTGTAATGTACAAAGCCTTCTGACTACCCATCATCCCAGAAGGGATTTCATCCTCAGAAAAAGATAAAAAATTATCAGCTTGTACATTGGAAACTAAACGATCTAACTTTTCAATGGGCAACTCTTTCGGAACAATAGTCTGGTTCAAAACCTTTAACAAAGCATTCCTATGGGCCTCTGAACTCAAAAGTAATAATAAAACAGAAATACGGGCATGCAACTTGTGTAACTGTTCAACAACACTGTATTCACTGTGTTTCATAAACTTCAAAAATTCTACCGCTTCACTCTCGGTTACTGGTTCATTGATAACAGGCTTATATTCTTCTATCTGTACATCAATCTTTTTCCCCTTATCAACCGCAACCTTCTTCTCAGACTCTTTAGGTGGATTAAGAGAATAACACCTACCACTTCTAGTAAAGCATCCCACCTCATCTACTTCCTCATTCTCTTTTGTTACATCTCCCATCTGGAAATCATATCTCCAAGGCACTTGTTTATTATCCCGATATGGGAATGGAGATGGAGGTGTAATAACTACTTTCGGGGCTACCTTCTCAGCAACTCGATTCTTGGGAGTAATAATTAGGGGACAACTGGCATTGTATACCCCTTTAGACGATCTTTCTGAAGCGCAAACTTCCGTTTCCTCTTCTTCAGCAATCTCTCTAAAGAACTCAATTTCTTTAATGTCCATCATGTCTTGTACCAAAGATAGGAAGTCAGGACATTACTGACTTCGTTTTCCTTTTTCCTCGTTGGTGGCCTCTTACTAGACTCTCCTCCCTCGAGCTTCCCACTCTTAACAGTCATTTCAATCATTTCTCCCACCGTAACTACATCAGCAAAACTTCGATAAGGATTACCGATAAGATGCGAGAAAAAAAGAGCCTTTAACGTGTTGACAAAAAGCATATTTGTTTCCTTCTCTTCCAATGGCGGGTGGACTTGCACCGCTACATCTCTCCATCTTTGAGCATATTGTCTAAAACTCTCGTTAGACTTCTTTTCCATTCCTGGCAACATCATCCTGTTAGGCCTAACATTTTTTACATGTTTGTATTGCTCAAGAAAAGACTTAGCCAAGTCTTTCCACGATTTAATATTAACTCTACTCAGCTGGTTATACCACCGGATTGCCGAACCAGTTAAGCTTTCCTGAAAACAGTGTATCAACAATTGATCGTCCCCTATGTATCCGGTCATCTTCCTACAAAACATTGTAATATGCGCAGAGGGGCACCTGGTACCATCAAATTTCTCAAAGTCAGGAACTTTGAACTTTGGAGGTAAAACCAAATCCGGAACTAGACTTAATTCCTTTGCGTCGAATCCATAGACACTAGTATCTTCCTTCATGGCTCTGACTTCTCTTTCTAATTGTTTCCATTTCTCTTCCAACGGATTGTTTTGGTCTTTCTTGGCTTCTTCATCAGGGTCCGGAACTTGATGATATTGATGTTATTCCTGATATGAACTAGATCCAGGCTGTACGTTAACAGAAGCACCGACTGGATTAATGTGTACCTTCCCAACATGAACAGGGGTCACTTAAACGTTCTGAGATTGTTCTGGGGTTAACCCTGGATGATGAAGTGGGTCCTCGGTTACACCTTCTGGCATAGGGCTTTTCCCATGTTCTTGATTTCTTCCTTCCAACATACTCGCAAACTTGGCAAACATCTCCTTTTGGGCATTCATCATATCTTCTCGCATTTTCTTGATATTATCTTGTAACTCCAACTGAGCCTTCTCAATTTGGGCAAGTTTGTCCTTCATAACTTTCTTCCTGGTTTTGTAGATATGCTTGGATTTTCCAGTATTACTCTGTCACATAGTTATTTTGTTAACATTATTGTTTATTAAAGAATATGATTTATATGATTATGAATGAATAAAATGTGATGCAAAAATTTAAATGTACTAAAATGCATATGCAAAATGCAGGGTGTTGATTTTGGAACGACTCCTTAGAACAACTCTTTATATTAGAATGACGTTCAATTACAAATTTGAAACACATCACAAATAGATCTGCACCATCTCTCCTATTTCCTGTATATGTGCAAGTAACTCCACGATCTTCTAGTTTTCTTCAGCCTCAGGATCCAGTTCTTCAGTCACATCAGTAGCTTCCTCGGATAAAATGACCAAATATTGAGCTATTCTCTACGCGTGTCCTAAGTAACAAGCAATAAGATATTCTCTTTGCTTAACTCTCTCCTGAGCTCGCTCCCATCGAAAACGCCATTGTATATCCCCCTCATAAGGAACTATCGATAGCTCACTTGCTTGCCTCTGAAAATCTTGAACCATGGCTTCAAGCTCACTCACTTGTTTTTTCAAACTTTCAACTTCCCCATGGCTTGAGCTACCTTCCCTGCTTCGGTATCGTCGTAATGCAGTCTCTAAACTTGAAATTTTCTCCTTCAACTTCTCATTCTGAGCTTGACTCTTTTGTAACCGCTGCTCTAAAGAATCCTTTTCTTTCGATAAAATCTTCACTTGGTGTCTGCTTTGCTTGAGCTCTCCTTGACTCTCTCCAGCTACTCTTTTGAGGCTCTCCACCTCTTGCCTCAATTCGACAGATGACTTACTCGAGCTAGAACATGTCTGAGCTTTTACCATTCACTGATAAGTTGACCGAAGATCGTCAAAGTCTAGCCGAAGTTGTTTCTCTACTTTTTCAAGTCGATTTACTCTACTCTTCTGAATGTCAATCTCCAATCCCTTTTGATACACTTCATCTTCTAGCTTCTGTAAAGTCATTCTCCATTGTCTCCGTTCTGCTTCGAAATCGCGCTTGGCTAACTCTAATGGAGATGGCACCACTCTTAACTGTTCCTCCACCGGCTGAATATTTTCAGGATTCACTATCGGGATGTTGTCATTTACTCGACCGCTTCTCCACTGCTCGTACTCTTGAGATAACTCGAGATCATAGGTGAACAAATTCACGCGACGAGTTTGCTTCCAGGCCTCAGCAACCCCTTTAACTTTACCCTTATACTGATCTCCTTTGAATGCAAAATCCGATCCTACCAAGTCCCACGTGGCTGGAATGAACTGCCTCAATCCATACTGTCTGGAAACTAGTAGTGGTGCATACCCAACAGAACCCCATATACCTGGCAAAGGAACCCAATCTCACTCTCCACATCGGTAAAATATATCCGAAGAAACATTCCACGAAGCTCGCCACAAAATATCACCATCTCTGATATCCTTGAAGATGACCATCCATTTTTCTTCGGTGAAGCCCCCAGGCCATTCTTTAGAAAGAAAATCTTTCAAAGGCGAAAACCCCTCTAGAAACACTCGTCCTGGTGCTCTTTCAACATGTTTGAAATGACTCATAATCCACACTAGCAGCAAAGGCGCATATCCTATAAAGCGTCATTCTCCCTCGCGCCTACAAGAACTCAAAGACCGGAATGTCTCAGCTAAAATGGCTGGAACAGGATCCACGTGCTTGTCTAATCTTTCAAATAGGTCAACGACTGATACGTCTACATATCCTAGCACCTTTGGAAAAATAACGAGCCCATAAATCCCTAAAGCAAACAAGTCAAGCTTCTTTCTCTTATCAGGGTAATGATCAATTACTTCTTTCAAAACAGCCCAAGAGATACACTCACTGTCTCCCTTCTTCTTAATGTTTCTGATTACCCAATCTTCACTCATTCCGGTCATCAATAGTAATTTCTTCTTAAACGAAGGAGTGATTGGCAGCTTGGTATATACTCTATCCATCTGGGACCTCGAACAACAGACCAAAGCTTGATACTCCTCTATTGTTGGTGTTAGATCCACTCTACCAAATGTGAAACAGCTGTAAGCCGGATTCCAGAATTGCGCCAACGCTCTAAACAGATTTCGGTCAATAGAAACATCCAGAAGATAAGGAATATCGTCGTACAATTGATAAAATGTCTCCTTATCGGCTACTGTTCATCTTCCCCATATCTCCTTTAGCTCACTTAGATCATTCTGACACACGTTGATGTGAGTATAACCAAATAACTCCGACACGTATCCAGGCATCACGCTGTCCCCATTGGTCAGTTGGGACTATTCCGACCACCTCAGAATATCAGCATTGTCTTCAAACTCTTTCTGAGCCATTCGTTCCATATTACTGGCCTTCTATATGGACATCAATCCCAAATCAACACCATGTAATGGATCATGCAATGCAAAACAGAAAAGAAACAAGGCAAAGATAACAAAAGATCGGTTAGTAAACATAAAGCAATTAAGTCGGGATAATAATTTATTCAAGAATCCTACCCACACATGTTGGCTACCCAATCATGCTTTATTAGATCCTACCCAATATGATATCTACCCCCATGCCTCGTTATTCACAAAAAGAAAACCTAACCACATGATATCTAATTCGTATGCTTGTTCGAAAAATAAACCTAACTGCATGATATCTAATTCACATGCATTTATTCGAAAAAACGAAAATAAATTACTCAAAAAAGCTTTTCCTTGTGTACCTTCCTCACAGGATTCTTAAGGTTCGGGTTTGGCTCAACCTAAGTTCGGGCTCTATGTTCACTATATGTTGGGTTCTGTTCTAAAGTAATAGGTTCTGGAATTGTCCTTGCCGGTGCCCCCTTGGGCTGCCGAACCCTCAATTCTAGCCCATCACAGGCTTTAGGGGATCGAGTTCAATTTCGAGGGAACACACCTCCTTATGTCCATGCGAAGGTGATTATCATCACGAGGACCATAAGGCGTGAGCTCCAGGAACGATCCACTATCCCATGCAGAGGTGAAAACCACACGAGGGCATAGTCTCTCACTCCTACTTAATTAGGACGGAGCGGGATTTTAGCTCATGTCATGAAAATGCAACTGTGCAGTATGTGAGGAAAAGCGAAAAAACACAATAAAACACTCAAAATTTCCTAAATTCACACAATTAATCTGAAATCATTAGCAAACAAATTAGTACAACTATTTAATTGTTAATCGAATTAAAAAAATCAAAAAAAAATCAAAATACAAACAAAACTTATTAAAAACTAAAAAAAGGATCAAAAATCAAATTAAAACGAATTTGTAATTTTCAATTGCAAAGACAATTAATTAATCGACTATCGGCTTGACTCTCTAAAAAAAGGGTCCCCAGCAGAGTCGTCAAGCTGTCGAAACGATTTTTTCTTCAAAAGGTGAAAAAAGGTGAGATTTTGAAAACCACATCAATTTTTAACTTATTTTGTTCAATTGATTTTTAATTTAAAAACAAATACGATTTAAAAGATCTCTCGTTCCGAAAAATTTTGAATTTCCTTTACGATCGAAAAATACCGTTTGAAGAGTCGCCACCAATCTTTGATTAGGGTGTGATTGGGCACCCAAAAATGCTTTGTCATTTTAAATAAATTAATTTTAATTAAAACCACAAATTGAGGTATGCGTTACCAAAATCCGAGTTCGGGAGTCGGTTACGTGTGGGGAAGGATTAGCACCCCCACAACACCCTAAATCGGTACCTAGTCGATTAATTAACGTCTTTGCAATGAACTTTACAAATTCAAATTTATTTTGATTTTTGATCCCATAAAACAATGACGTAAATTTAAAAACATTCAAAAAGCACTCAAACAAATTAAATTAAAATTACCAAGTCGTTTTAGAAAGATAAAGAATGTTCGATTATTTACAAATATCGAGACCAGATCTTAAAGATATAACAACCTTTTCTCGGTATATTTAAATAAACGAACATTTCCTTTTCTCTCGTTCCCAAATTTTAGGTGACGAATCAATTTTTTTGGTTTCACTTTCGGGATACACTTTTATTTTAAAATCATTAAAAGCGGACCTCAAATCAGTTATGACTGCCCACTTAAAACAATTTTAAATTAAAAGGGTATTACCCTTAGTCCGATTATGTAATATGTCGAGTTATGTAAATGAGGTTACCATACGAATCGTGCAAAAAAATGTCATGTCAAAATTAATTAAACAAAATTAAAAATATCATACAACGTGACATACAAAAAATTATATATACATATTTTAATTAAAAATCATAAACCATGCATATTAACATATTATGTATACATGTGACCTAAATATAAAAAAAAATCATAACATGCTAAATTATAAATTAAAATATATATATGTACATATTAAAAAGTGACTAAATTTAAATAAATGTAAAATTCAGTTTGCAAATCAAAAATAAACCTAGGGCCTAAATATAAGCATACGCATAAACAAGGGACCTACACGTGAAAAACCTAACAAAATTATAACTAAAATTAAAACTGGAAAAATAGCGAAATTAGGACAAACACAAAAGGTTAAATTCTAAAGTAGTCCTAACGGTGACTAAAGTGTAGATATATGACTACATTACAAGGGCACCATAGTAAATTATCCTAACATTTAGATGGCTGGAAACTAATTAACCCAAAACTATTAATAAATAAAACCTAAACTAAGTAAAAATCTAACCTAATTATACACAGAACCTACCCAACCTCATGCTTCCCTCTTCAGCTTCCTTAGCTCACGCCCCACTCTTCATTTCTTCTTCAACTCTCCCCCTCTCATTACTACGCAAGCTACTGACCAGAAAAGGAGGCCGACTGTCGCTCTCCTCCTTCAAACACCATCGCCGCCGTTCGACCTCCGCCCTAGTGGCCCACTCTCCACTCGACTGCAGCCTCTTATCGCCTTGTCACTTCATTCGAGTTCTTCGTCGGGAATTAAAGTAAGTAATCGGAAGTGTAGTCGTTGGGTAGAATGACGAAAGATTCTAAAGACTTGTAACTAATCTTAGGGGCTGTAATTTGGGACTTATGATAGGAAAAGAATGAGCTTTAGATTTAATTTGGGTCTCGTAATGTCGTTCAACCAAAAATGGTGTATATCAAAGTTGGGTTTGAAACTAATTTACGAAGTCAAATGGGGCTTTCGTGGGTCTCGATCGAAGGAGACGAAGGGTAAAGAAGACATAATGAATTATTTAGGGCTTTTTAGATCGTTGTTTAGGCTCCTCCGGGATTACTTGAGGTAACCGAAGAAAACGATGGTCACCAAGTGCAGTATACAGTAGGAATTTAAATGCTTTTGTAGCTTTCAACCATTGCTGCCGAGAGTTCCCCAGACGAAAATTTCAAAGACAGGTAAACTCAAAGTTCTCTCACCATTTTCTACTTATTTCTCTTAAGAATTCACCTCTAACTTACGAATGGTGGCTACTCAAGGAAACCTAAATCTCATTAACGTCCCAACTACACACTATGTGATAGCCACAATACAAGTGGAAAAAAAAACTAAGCAAGATAATGTAACTAGTTCATCTTCTCTGTATTTTCACTTACTTAGAAATAAAAACATTCATGGAAATTGCTAGCAATTAAATTAATGATAGGAAATACCAAGAAAATTGCTCTTTGCTTAATATTGCTTTCCTGAAAAATGAGTCTGTCACACTGCTTGATCTCTTTCTCCCTATATGTTTTTTGTTGTTTTTTTTAGAATGGTCTCTGTTTTTTTTCTTCTCTTGCTTTTTTCTGTGCTCTCTCATAGTTGATATCCCTTCTCCCCAAATCATCCCCCAATTTCCAGTAGTTAATCCCCTAAAAAAAACTGACCCCCCACGTTTTTTTTCTTGTTTTTAACTCCCCAGAACTGCTTTCATTTGGAAATGATATAGGCCCCAGACAAATTAAGCATCTACAATGAGAAGACAAAGCTTCTTTTTTTGTACAATTCTTCTGAGGAAACTCGCAGTAAGTCCTTGCCAGGCTATATTTTTTACTTACTGATTGCTCTGAATCTGTCATGGCTGATTTTGAATGCAATATTTTCTTGTTCTAGTTTAAACCATTTAAAATTTGCTTCTGGCAGTATTAATACTTATTTATCTTTTGAGCTTGTTCTGGTTTTCTTTAACATGGCCATCTTTGTGATCAATTTGTTGGCAGTTTAATAACATGAGGTTTATGTTGGTTTATCATTTCATGAACTTGTTAGTCATTACATTCAACATAAGTTTGGCCTTTTAAGTTGTTCTCTTCCTAATTTTATAGATGTGAAAGTTAGCATTGGTTTGAGTAATGAATTTTAGACCTGATTCCTATGAAGTCTGCCTTGAAACTTGGCATGGTATAACTGACGTTACGATTAGACCTGATTCCTAGGAAGTCTGCCTTGAAACTTGGCATGCTAATTATTGCATTACCACAATCACAAGCTTTTAGTGTAATGTTTGACCACTTCAGCATACTTCTGTTTCTATAGATTTTTGGACAAAATATGATATCACTTTATCTTGTAATGGAAGTTAAGACATGTTTTCAATTGTCCCACTTAAAATTTTATCGGATAACCTGCTGCTTTTGATGTTTGTTTGAAGTCTTTTTCTCCTGCTTTTACTTGTTTGTAGTTGTGATGCAGCATCATATACTGTTGTCTATCCCAATCATACTTTCTCAGGATGCTGAAATGTGATATTGGGACGATGAACTGCATCTTTTTGTGAAACCAGAAACCACTCGCTAGTTGTTGACATTTTCACTAGTAGCCACTGTCTCTAGGTTCCCCTTCTTATGATTTTAAGTTGAATATTCCATGGGGATTATTTAATACTTTATAAGTATACAGAAAATACAGTTCATACTAGAATATGTTTCTATTGATGCTGATATAGCTCAGGGATTATATTTTGACCTATAGTCTCGATTATTATTTGTGGTCATGTATTTTATGTGAAGAAACTTAGATTGAACTCTTGAGTGGTTATGTCAATAATTTTTCTATTCAAAGAGATTTTCAATATATATATTGTAAAATTAGCATCTAGAGAGTTTTCATATTAAAATTTTCACCCTCAACTTCCCTTAACATTCACAGGGGGATAAAAGCTTGACCAGTGTTACTCACATTATAGTTGATGAAGTACATGAACGGTCTCTTCTGGTAAGTGGATGAATTTTGAGTTCAAATAGCTATGGCTATTTCTGGTGGATTGTTTTGTAACACATAAGTTTCTTTGGTTTACAATGTTCAATGATTTATGTTTATAACAACGGCATTTTAGTCAAGTGAATTAATTTGCAGATCTGCATGCAAAACTTTTATTTGATTTTGAGCTCTTGGCTCTAGAAGCTAACAAAATTATTTGTTTGAAGTTTGGAATTTATTAAGAACATTCGTAACAATCATCTCAAAGTTCTGTCTATTGAAAAAGCAACTCCATAATATAATCATGCTTCAGTGGTTCTCTGAACCAGTAGGGGAAGGTCCTCCTATCATGGCAGAGTTGTTGGCGATTAAGAGGGGACTGTGTCTTATGGAAGATCAAGGTTATGCTCTTAATAAGAGGTTTATTCTGGAAACTGATTCAA